TTGGCACCTCATGAGACTCGATTGGGAAACATTCATAAGGGTCAACAGACAGACCTGGTACTATTTATAGTTTTTTTCTTTCATGTCTATATACAATAAACAGGATAAACAATCCTTAGGAGAAAGCAAGAATGATGGTTCTGGGGGGACACAGGAGGGGGGGTGGCGGAAGGGCGGAGGGGAACCAACAAATCCGAGGACAAGGGAACAAGTGATCTAAAATCGATGGTGAGGAGGGAGTAGAATGCCTGGTGGGGCTTGATCAAGTGCAATGTAGCTGAGAGGAAGTACAGAGAGCTGAATGAAGGTCAAACATGATAGTGGGAGGAAAGTAAAAGAAAATAGAGGAAATAACTAGAAGGCAAAATACATTTATAGAGGTATAAATATAGACATGGATATATATGAATATATAATGATAGAGATGTAGGTCTCTATACATATATTTACATATTTTGTATTAAGGTAGCAGACTGACATTGGACCTCTACTCAAGTCCTCCTTCAATGCAAGAACACTTTGTTCTAATAACCTGGCGTTCTGTTATGTTCACTTGCACAACAAAATTGCTGAAGACAAAATGAGTGCATAAGCAAATGTGATGAAGAAAGCTGAGGGTGCTCGGTTATTACAAGATATAGCATCTGGAATCTTAAAGGCTTAAAGTTAAACAAGTGGCCATTTAGCAGGGAAGCAACAAAGCCCACATGGAAGAAGCACACCAGCCTGTATGAACACAAGGTGTTGACAGGATCAGGTATCAGGCATCTGAAGACCTCAAACGACCAATCATATCAATCAAATGAGGGGGATTGGACTGGAGACCCAAAGCCCATCTGTAGACAATTGAACATTTCCTCACAGAAGGGTCACAAACAAGGGAGGAGCCCCCAGGATGCAGTATAGCACTGATGAAACACACAACATTCCTCTAGTTACTTAATGCTCCCCCCTCACCCCACTTTCATGACCCCAGTTCTACCTTACAAACCAGGAGAGACTGGAGCATGTACACTGGTACAGATAAGAGCTCTCAATGCACAGAATACAGGATAGATAGACTCCTTAAGAACAGTAATGGGAGTAGCGATACCATGAGGGTAGTGGGGAAGGTGAGAGGAGAAGGGGAAGAAAGGGGGAACTGATCACAATGATTGACCTGTAACTCCCCTACCCTCTTAACATGGGTGAAAGGATACAGTGGTATCAGATATGAATATAATAATTTCTAATTTATCAAGGGGTCATGAGGGTAAAATGAGGAGCTGATACCCAGGGCTCAAGTAGAAAGAAAATGTTTTGGAAAAAAATGATGGCAACATATGTACAAATGTGCTTGATACCACTGATGCATGAATTGTTATAAGAACCCCCAATAAAGTGATTTATTTTTAAAAAGTAGATTAAAAAATAAAATTCTGGTGTTTTTTTTGGGGGGTACCCCCTTGTTTGTGAAAGTTGGACATTGAATAATGGAGACTGAAGAAGACTTGATGCACTTGAATTGTGGTGCTGGAGAAGAACGTTGAAAGTATCACGGACTGCTCAAAGGACGAACATCTGTCCTTGAAGAAATAGGACAGAGTGTTCCTTAGAGGCAAAGCTGGTGAGATTTTTGTCTTATATATTTTGGGCAGGTTGTTAGGAGAGACCAATTCCTGGGAAAGGATATCACGTTAGGTGGGTAAAGGGGCAGTGATGGAGAGGAATGTCCTCCAGGAAATGGATTGGCACAGTGGCTGCAGCAATGGGCTCCAGAATAGGGACCATTGTGAGGATGGCACAGGATGGGCAGTGAGACTTGACTGGATGGTACCTAACAACAAAAACGTTTACTTCTGTTGCCTTACATTCTTGTACTCTTCTCAGTTTCTCCTTTTGTCTTTGTTACTTTTAGCTGACTTTATTCTTATTGTATATTTTCTTCCCCTCCCCCAAAATATGGTACTCATTTATTTAAATGAACCAGAAGATGAAATATTGGGCTTGGAATTGATCTAAGACTTATGTGATGATGTCATGAGGTGAATGTGTTTTAAATTTGATAAGAACATGAATTTTGTGAGCCAATGAATTGAATTTTATAGATTGAATGTATTCCCTGAAAATATGGTTTGTAAATCCTAACCTCTATCCTTGTGCTTATAATCACACTTGGGAATGGGCGGTCTGTTATGTAAGTGATTCAAAATTAGTTTATGGCTTATTGAATTAATCTTTTTCCAGATATGAGAAAGAAGCAAGGATGTGGAAAGAGAAATGCCAAACTACATGCAATTTTCCGTCAGAAGCTTAGGAAAGACAAAGACCTTCTAGAGCCACCAGAGACAGAACGTGGTCCTCTAGAGCCACCATCATGAATTTGGACTTTTAACTTCCTAAATGGGGAGAAAATAAATTTATGTTGTTTAATGCCATCAACTTGTAGTATTTCTAGCATTGGATAATTAAGTCAGAATGCAATGTAATGTGCCAGTATGAGAATACCTCTTTTTAGTGTTCTCCCCTTTATTGTGTTGAGTAGGTATTGCAATTTTTATAAATGGAAAGTTTATGACAGGCCGGTGTCCAGCAAATCTAGTGGCACCATTTTCCCAACAGCATGTGCTCACTTTGTGGCTCTGTGTCTCATTTTGGTAATTCTAAAAATACTTCTAACTTTTGCATAATGATCTTGCACATAATAGACAACAGTGTAGTGTAAACATGGCTTTTATATACTCTGGGAAAGCAGTAATGAGCAATTAGCTTTATTGAAATCTTTACTTTATTATGTTGGTCAGGAACTAAATTGACAATATTTTGAAGGTATGGCATTAAATCTAATCATTTTATCCTCTTCAGCATGAGTCAGAATCCCTTCCCTTTTTTGGGGAACTGTTGCAAACCATCCAGTTGACAGTGATGTCACACTCGAGACTTGCAGAGCCTTGGTACATTGGTCATATGTCTTTTCAGTAGCGGATCCCCTTGCTTTCCCACTGGCACTGAGCGTGGTTGCGGGTCCAAGCAAGATGACATTCCTGATAGCTTCAGTATTTTCTCCATTGGTCTAGTTGTGAGGATTTTGGTCTTTTTTCTACTGAGCAAATGCTTCAAGTCCTCCACAGTTTAATCAGGCAAGGTTATGTCATCTACATATCAAAAAGTTGTTAATAAGCCTTTCTCTAATCCTGATACCAAATTCTTCTTCATATAATCCAGCTTCTCGGGAAATTGGACATCCCCATGCAAAAGGGCTACGGGGAGGAGATGAGCCAGTCAGGGTGGGGTGTAGTAACAATGAAATATATAATTTTCCTCTAGTTCTTGAATGCTTCCTCCCCCCCCTATCATGATCCCAATTCTATGTTACATATCCGGCTGGACCAGAGAACATACACTGGCACAGATAGGAACTGAATACACAGGGAATCCAGGACAGATGAACCCCTCAGGATCAGTGGTGAGAGTGGCAATATCGGGAGGGTGAAGGGAAGGTGTGGGAGAAAGGGGGAACAGACTACAAGGTCTACATATAACCTCCTCCCTGGGTGATGGACAGCTGAGAAGTGGGTGAGGAAGACGTCGGATGGTGTAAGATATGACAAAATAATAATAATTTATAAATTATCAAGGGTTAAGGGGGGAGGGGGAAGGGGGAAGCAGGGAGGGAGGGGGAAAATGAGGAGCTGATACCAAGGGTTCAAGTAGAAAGCAGGTGTTTTGAGAATGATGGTGGCAACAAATGTACAAATGAGCTTGACACAATTGATGTATGTATGGATTGTGATGAGTTGTATGAACCCCTAATAAAATGATAAAAAACTCCAGCTTCTCAAGTTTTTTGCTCTGCAAAAGATTGAATAAGTATAATCAGAGGATAAAGCCCTCCCATGCATCTTTCCTGATTTTAAGCCAGCCAATATTCCCTTGTTGTGTTTGAACAACTTCCTCTTGATCCATGTACAAGTGCTGAGTGAATACAATGAAATGTTCTGGAATTCTCATTTCTTAAAGGCTATCCACAGTTTGTTTTGACCCAGAATGTCAAATGCTTTGACATAGTCAATAAAACACAAGTAAACACCTGTCTGATATTAAGCTTCTCCATGGTCTCTTCTCACAAATGCAGTCAATCTGAGTTCAAAATGAAGGTCCCAAAGACTCTGGCCCCACAGGCTGTACTCATGATGGTCAACTGTATTTTGAGAAGGTAAGTTCTTCCTTATACATATTTTGAGTATCTTTTGATGTGAGGTGTTCATCTTCTGGCACTAGATCTGATAATATTTTGCTTCTACTTATTAGGCCTTCAGTATTTGACAATGTTTTGATGCTATACATAAGGTTTTTAACAGCTACTTATTCTGAAGTGGATAGTCAATTCCTTCTTGGTAGTCTGTTGTTAGTCTGACAGCTCTGCTGAAACATTTTTACTGTGGTGACCTTGATGATATTTGAAATACCACTGGCATAGCAACATCACAGCAACACACAAGCCACAACAGTGTGAAGAACTTACAGTCCTGTCATGGGATATTGATATTGTTCTATCGTTTAAGCATTCTGTTGGGCCACTCAACAGGATGATTGTAAATAAGACCCGAGATTTGATTCTAACTAATAGAGTATGGTGAGGCTCTATATTCCTAACAGAATTGCCTTTGTTTTCACAATGGACTCGAAGAAGTAAGTTACCATGTTGTGGCATGAAAATTACAAGAAGTTTTTAGGAACTTGAAGCATTTTTTCCTTTTTTTTTTTAACAAATGAAACTTTATTATAAACAAAAGTAACAAGGTAAAAATCTAACAGGCAATTTACTTATACTCAAAAAAACTAAGGAAATTATGTCTTAAACACCTTCTAGTAATCTATTTGCAGTTACATTTAACTGAGCTTTGTTGCTGTGGAGAATACAGCTCATGCACAGGTGTGGACGGAAGATCTGTACATTTTTCAAGTATTCACTGAATACTACACCATATATACACATAAACATTGAACTTGAAGAAGATTTAATTGAACATCCCTATATAATCTTCATTTTGTTGTTGTTTTGGAAGCGGTCGTCTAAAGAGAAGAATATGTGGTTCTGGCTCATGAATCATGTAATGTACCCAGCCTAGACTTTGTTGAACACCAAGTGTCCTCCACTCCTCTTCAGACATTAGATGGGTTTTGGGTACTTGTTTGGAAAGTTCTCTGGGCAACATGGCATGCCGGTACTCGTAATGTTCATCGAAGTACTTGTCCGAATAGTATATTTGCTTGTGAGCCATCTGGCCGGTGGCGCAGCGGGACAGGTCGGTAAGAAAGGCACAGAGCAGGAGCAGCAGCACGGAAGGGCCCGGCAGGTAACAGCAGCCCATTTTTTTTCTAATAGTCAAAACTATCCAAAGTAAAATAAAACAAAACAAACTGAAAATAACTAGCTAAATAAAAAACCTTGAAGTTCTAATCTTTACAATCACAGGGAAGCAAATTCTGCCAAGAAGTTTGTTATATTTTAAAGTGAATTCTTCTCCCCATCAAGTTTTTCCAAACAGGAACACTTGACTGCGACACTCGTGGCAGGGTTGACTCATTCAAAAGCAACCCAGTCTAACAGTAACTGATCTCCTGACTTAAAGAAGCTGGGGAAGAGTACTGATTGCTCCAAACTACTAAATTTGCAGTAACTCAGTGAATCCTCGCCACTTAGCGCTTCGACTTCCGCGGCTTCACTCTATCCCGGTTTTTGCGTAACAGCGCATGCTCTGTCATAACTGCCACTGATTGGCTCATACGGTACACGCTTGATGCCATAAATAATATAATAAATAATAAATGATAATTGTAATGTCCAAAATGTTTTACTGTATTTTCCCTTTTTCGTTTAATAAATTGGGTAATACGAGTGTAATGGTGACTAAAGGGTGTTTTTTCATGTCCTCTATGCTCTAACTACGAAAATATTTGATTTACAAATAAGGAATCCTACTTCGCGGAATTTCATTTATCACGGTAGGGTCTAGAACCGATTAACCGCGATAAACGAGGGTTCACTGTATAGTTCAGAAAGTGAATTTTGAGTCCAGAATGAAGTTTAAACTGTACAAATATGAATGTGGATACAATTGGTAGAAGATTTGTTATGAATATCAAATGAGAGAATGTACTTGAGAGATATTGTTTGCTGAGAAAACGGTTGTTACTCTTAGGTTGGCCCAGCCTATGAGTCAGAATCAACTCAGTGGCAGTGAGTTTGGTTTGATCATGGAGAGGGACACTATATATTTGTTCCTGTTTCTGGCATCCCCTGACAAAGATAGTTGTCTGAGAACTTCTATGCCAGCTCACAAACTCTAGATTTTGGACCTGCCCTCAATTTTCTGATGGTCTCTAGTCAGTCCACAGGTTGTATTCATATAAGACTCACTTTCCTATGTCAAATCTCAGGGCACTAAGAGTTCAAAACCTGAACAGAATTATCCTGCACTTAGACTTGGAACCTGGGGACAGGCTTGGTGATGCAGTGTTTAAAATGCTAGACTGCGGACCGAAAAGTTGAAGCCAGCAGTGTCTCCACAGGAGAAAGGTGTTGCAAAGTTCTTTATAAACATGACAGCCTTGGAAACTCTACCAGGTAGTTACTCTGCCCCCTAGGGGGGTTATGAGTCAAAGTCAACTGAAGGACAAGGGGGTTGGTTTGGTTTTATCTCTCTCAGATAGTATTCTACATGAGGAGTCACAAGTCCCACTATGATTCTGAAGTAGATTTAGCTTCCCTGTTACTGTTGCTGCTATTTGTGGGTAAGTTTCTAGATCTTGGGAGCTTGGAAAAGAAGTATCTTGGGGCATCATTTTCTCATTGTTAAATATTGACTTGGAGGGAATAAACTTTTCAAAATTTATTTTATTTATTATTTTTCAAAAACCATTTTCTTGGGAGTTAACACAGATATCATATTGTTGCATAGTTCAGTCATATCAAGTAATATTGTATAATTGTTACTACAATCAGTTTGAAAACATTCTCTTCCTTCTTGAACTCCTTGACATCAGCTCCCCTTTCCCATCCTCCCCCTCTGTCCCGCCAGGAACCCTTCTTCTATTTGCTATCTCTATAGGCCTATCAATCAGGGGTTGCATATACCGAAAAAAAAAACCAACAGGAAAATACAACAAAAACTCAAGAGGGTCACCCTCAGTGACAAAATATACCTGAGATAAACCCCAATATGAACAAACAAATAAACAAAAAACCACAGATAATATTGAAAATCAGATCAGGCCCAATGTGCATGAGAAGGGGGATCAACTAACAAGGTTTTAGCCATTTAAGAAAGTTTTATCATTTTGATCTCCGACAGTCATCTCTTTAATGCACTCTGGTGACCAGTTTATTCCCGTCCCTCAATTATGGAGAGAGGGAGATCACTGGAGGCTTATGTCCTGCACCGAGCTCAGAAATCTTGGGCTCCCACTAACATCCATAGCCTTTTGCAAACCAGAATCTCACAATTTAAGATCTGATACTATTCACACATTTGGCTTCAGATTTTGTGATTTACAACCCTCAGTCACAGAAATTGGTGTGCTTCCTCCATGTGGTCTTAGTTGACATTTCACTTAGATGGCTGCTTGTTTGGAAATAAGCTTTTAAGACCCAAGATGCTGTTATTTTATCTGATAGCCAGGCACCCTCTAATTGTTTCACCACACTTTGCTATAGCACCCATATCTTCTGTGTTCACTTCCTGAGGGCGAGGAAATAAACTTTTTGGCTTCTTATAGCCCAGATAAGTTTTTCTCAAAATACCATATTTTTGAAATTCTTCTAGTAGTGTGTACAGGTGAGGCAATTTTTTGGTTGGGGACACATGGGATCAATTTCCTATATAGATTCTGCATGTACAATGACTATATTACAAAGCATCTTTAAAAAAAAGAGACTAACACACTGACTGGTGTAGGAGTCAGGATTCAGTTCTAGCAAGAAGGAAAATTAGGAATTATGTGGTAATTATATATTAGGGAGCTTTACAAGGCTTGCAAAGTATTCCAATATCTTTTAACATCCTCCCCCCCCCCCATGAACATTTTGAGGCTCCTCATATTACTGCTAGAATATCAAGATCTTATAGCAGGTAGTTATGGAAAGTACTTGCAGAATCAAGAGTGAGAGCTTTCTGGATTGGATAAATGGGCTGAGCATGTTAGAAGGAGGAAAACTCAATTTATTTTTGAATACTTGATTCAGAAGTTTATTGAGAATGGGACAATGTTCTCCGTTTAGGCTGACGGAGTAGAGACCAACTTAGGTATATGATCCAAGATGTCAATGAGAGTAGGACAAAGGAAGGAAGTGATAAAGGAGTTAAAAAAAAAAAAACCTCTATTAAGTCTTAAACATATGAGCACATCATCTTACTTAGTCCTCACAATTTTTTTTAAATTTTAATGTAATATTTTTATTGACATATTCTTCTCATTCCAATATATCCCTTCCCTTCCTGTAAAGTTCTGTGGTTCAATCCCATGGTGTGGGGTACACAATCATCAATGTTATCACCTCCCCTCTCCTACCTCCCCCCACCTCTCACTTCCTGTACCCTCAGGGAACCATTACTCCTGTCACTGCCTCTGAGGGGTCATCTTTCTTGATTACCATGTACAGAGAGATCTTAAATATGCAAATGAACATATGCAAATCTAACATGATTAATGAGGTATGTCACATAAAGACCTCACTAGTAAGGGGAAGAGAATCTTAAAGAACTAGAGGATAGTTATGTGGTTTGTCAGTGCCATACCACACCCTGGATTTATACTCTAATCCGTGTGACTCTTCTGAGAGGAACTGTTCAATTGTCTTGCTGGTGTAGTTTGGATCTCCATTACATCCACTCTCCTTCATATTGATTGGGTTGCATGTTTTTTTAATTTCTGATACCTCTTTCCATTGACACCTCATGATTACACAGGCTGGTATGCTTCCCATGTGGGCTTTGTTGCTTCCCTGTTAGATGGCCACTTGCTTAACTACAAACCTTTAAGACCCCATATGTTATATCTTTTGATAGTCAGGCACCATCAGCTTTTTTCACCACTTTTGCTTAGGTACCCATTTTGTCTTCAGCAATCGTGTCAGAAAGATGAATACCATACAATACCACATTATTAGAACAAATGAGATAAGATTTAAGTAGAGCCCCAAAGTCCATCTGCTTCCTTGTTGTGTTTACATATATATACATATATAAATAAATACACATATATTCATATCCATAGTTTTTTTTCCCTCATCCCCCCCCACCTCACTATTATGTTTGCCTCTTGTTCATCTCTCAGTAATTCCTCTCAGATATAATTCAATTGATCAAAAACAACAAGAAAAGCTACACACTTTATCAAGTTAGGTATTGGTGCTTCCATAATATAAGTGAGGAAGCCATGTCTCTAGTATGGAAAGCAATAGACTCTCATAGTAAAAAGCATGAGCCTTATAATAACACAGACCTTGTTTTAATCTGAGTCTACTGCTTGTTAGTTGCATAACTTTGGAAGAACTAATTAACCTATTCAAGCTCCTCCTTGTTCATCTGTAAAATGGTATGAAGTAATAAGCATTTCTGTTTTAGTATATTTGTTGTGAGGATTGAGATAATGTGGGCAAAGCACTTCACACACTGTATTGCTCCTGATAAGATATCAATGGCCGTTGCTATTGCAATGGGTCTTACAGTTTGAGTGTTACAATACAAACGCAAAAACCATAGAAAAACATGTTATCTCACATAATGAGATTAGGCCATTTTGACTCATGTGCTGAACTTTAGATACATATCTGTGGCCAGATGACTCCTATCTGCCAATTGATTTAGACTAGCCATGAGTAGAAGAATGTATAACTTACTTCAATTATTATCTTCTACCTTTGGATATATAACAACATACTAACCATTTTACTAACACAATTTTGTAATTTTTTAAAAAAAGCTTGAGTATACAAAAATAGATTTGTTCTGGTCCCCTCAAAGACAGCCAAAATATCATGCATTTTCTTAGTTAAGTTTGAACTAAGTAAAACTAGGATCTCAGAAGGAAATAGTGGGATATATATATGTATATATATATAAAAATATATAATTTTATTGTATTTTCAGTAGATGTTTACATAGCTAATTAGATTTTCATTTAACAATTTCTATACAACTTGTTATAGAGTTAGAAAGCCAGAAAGGGAAGACATGTTTAACATAATGTAATCTGAAATAATTTTTAAAAATTCAAACCT